GATTTTGCAAACACGGTGACACGAGTAAGGACCAAATCCAAATGACCTTGACGTAAGCGAGGATCCGTTGTATTGTGAATCGTACGAGAGCTTAAGCCAGCAATTGCATGCTCTTTTGCCCAGTGACGTCTTTTATGGACGTGTTTGAAAACCCAAACAAAAGCTCACCCCAGTCGGACTTCCGAACTCGCCGTAGGCGACATGGATGAATGCTGTTACGGTATTAGTTCGAACCCGGCTGCACACGCCGAACCACCAACTATGCAACCTACTTGGAGGGGTCAATAGAAGCAGGGAACACGTCTTATCAGCCTGCCTAACGGCTTGCATGGTGGAATGCCGTGTGGATTGTGAACGTTCGGTTACTGCACTAGTAGACTATTCGGCTGCATCAATCGCTGCTGAACATAGAAGCGTTCGCCCGTGTGGGCTCGATGTAGAATTTTAGAATGGAACGCTTCTTATTTGCAGTACACGTTTCTACTTGCAAATTCACATAGTAACGCTGCACATAGGCGCTAATTTCGCCAACATGGTAGAAAACGCGCCTCACCGCCCTAGTATCCGACGTTTTCCATAGTGAGCTATTTTGATGCCTTGCTTTAATAGCTGGGACCGTTTCAATTGCTTACGCAAATTGAATTGGCTTCCTGCGGAGTGTGTTTTCGAATGTCGTCTTTATGCGATCGTAAGTAGGAGCGGACGAGTGTGTAAAGTGGGTGACATTGGTGAAAGTACTGATAACATTTCGAATTTGCACTAGTACACATTTAGACACCACACCTAGTGTAAGTCGTGATTATTGAAGAGATCGTGGAACATTGAAATTGGTTGGACAACCTGGTACGTACCGAGACTCTTCTCCCTCGAGCATTTTCCGGTACATGAGGATCTCTTGGTCCAGCGCCACTTTGCTGTTCATGAGGTCTGCGAATTCGGCGAACCGTAACTCGAGTTCTCGTTGAAGACGCTCGACTTCCTCCCTTTGGGATGCCAAACGCTTCTCGTATTCATCACGTTCTTGACGCAGAAATCGCTCCAGTTCTTCAACTCGACGCTTCAGCAGATCCACCTCGGCTTCTTTTTTGGTCAATTCGTGTTCCAAGTCATTGGCGTTTTTTCGCACCACGAGGAGTTCCTCTCGCAGTTTTCCCGCCTGTTTTGAAGCATCCGTGCCGGCTGCTCGCAATTGGTTTAATTTTGTCTGTCGAAGGAGATGGTGTTGTAAATTCGGAATGACTGAAGAATGCAATGCACAATCGGAGAACACAACTACTGTACAATTTAACCGACGGTTCGCCGAGGCGAATGTCTACTTCAAATTCTGCAACGGAATTCGGTTTTTGAGGGAGTTTTGACAGATAATTTGTCACAGGCTGGGTGTGGTTCTCAAATCAAATTACTATGACAAAGCACTCTCATATTCCTGATCGTAAGTAGCAGGTCTGTTCACGACGTAAAGCCCAGTGCTAAATTGGCCTGGATTATTGTAGGAAGTTAGGTTTTGCGGAAAACCAGTATTTGCCCTCTCAACGACGCTCTGTGCACGTGGCCCCACTCTGTGTTCACGCTGAAAAGAATGAGCGTGTCGATTTGGCGTCGGCAACACTCATGGCCAGTAAATCCCAACCGCTTGACCCTTTCCTTTTCTCTCTGCTTCAAACTGAGTCAACGTTAAGCAGCAATTATGGAAAGGGAGAGGTTTAATGAAAAAATCAACCCAACTGACGGCCTTGCGAGTTCGAGTGAAAACCGACGTATCAGCTCACTCACTGCTCCAACGTGCTTTTCATAGACTAGTGTTGTTGCAAAAGTGCTTTTTTCGTTGCCAGTCGGAGAATTTCTCAAGTATGATTCATTTCCATTACTCGTGAGTAAGAAAACGCGAAGTTAACTTTGAGGCGCCTGTAAACATCACCCTTTCATTGAAACCTCGATTTCCTAGTCCGTGTAGACATACCGAGGCCAATTACGTCAAATCACTCAAAAGGACCTCTGGTGACTCTGAAAACGCTCGACATCAATTAATGATGCACATTTAGAGTCCAGAAAGCGTACTCTACTAACTGTCTGAAATGGGGTACTGCTTGTCGAATAAGAACAGTTGAATTAAGCCTAGGCGACGCGACAAACCCTAAGAAAATTAAAGAGGCGAAAGTGCTAAGGCGAGTACAGAGTGATGACAAGTCGAATGTTACAGCGTCAAAGTCGCATCAGTCAATTGATGCCCAGTCCGAAACTTGGTTACTAATCATAGATAAGATGTTATTGACATATGGTGCGGAGATTTGAGAGAGAGGTGCAATTTCGACATCAGAAGTACTACCCGAAATTTTAACACGCATAATTTATTTTGCACCTATTTTAAATGCTTAGTCTATTCTTTGTGGCTATGGTTTTGATTGCCATCGCTAACTTTTAAGCCTATCTATCTTCTTAACATATTGAGCTTAACAAATCGCAGCATCGAGAAGTGCTTCTTTTCATCGATTACCACAATACTGTAGTAGATAAAATAAATTTGTTAATAAAAGATTTTGCCAGAAGTTTTGAAGTTACTTGTGGTTTGAAAGAAAGGGGAATCCCTGTGAAACGAAAATACAAGAAGAATTTATGTCCGTTAATCAGACTTTTTCATTAATTAATACTTTATAAATTGATAGGTATTGAAACAATTCAGATTTGAATTTATTTGGAGATGGAATTCAGCATGTGTTTTAGTTTGGTTAATTTTTATGAAACTGTGTCTTTCACAGATGATAAAGCGCTTGTCAAAACACTTCCTAGCTAAGAAAATTGGGTAAAAAGGAATGGATCTATAATGCTATATTTAGGTATGTGCAGATCGAATGTAACAGTATAATGAGAGATGGATATGTAGATATAACATTAAAGAAAACCTCAAACTGCTAATTTATTGTAAACTAAATTTTCATAAATTATGCAATTCTAACTCTAGCCATGACTGACTTTTGAATGGACGTAAAAAAGTTTACCATCAGGCAAAGTCAATCTTAAAACCTCATGCTCAACATAGCTACTTATTTCAGCTCAATACGTAATAAAAAGGGAACGTTTGGCAATCTCGTGACAAAAGTTTACCTAACGTTCTCTGTTTTAGCCTCCAATCTTCAGAATTAAATAGACAGTGGAATAAAGGAAGAAATGAGTAGTTGATACAGGGTTAAGAAATTCGGTTAAATAAACAGCAAACGAATTGAGATTAATCAGTAGCTAATGTGAGGTAATGATTATTAATTTCGTTGACAGAATGTAGTTTTGGTTATAGTTGCTAAACGAATTTTGCGGAGAAGTGTTATCCTGTGGACGCGATGATTATAAAGAGATTGAGGATAGTTTTAAACAACTAAAAAGCAACATTGTTTTGCAATTAAAGTTTGAAGCTTTTCATCAAACAAGGCGCTGAAATTACTTACCTCGAACGTACGTTCCATTTCATTTTTGTAAGAAATCAGATCATCTGCCGTTTGGTCACGGTATGCTTGCAGTTGGTCATACAGTTTTGACTCATATTCCGCTGTCTTCCTTTCCTCTATTTCAGTCTCGACGAAAAGTGTGCTTTGTGCCACTTTTTGGCGCTCCTCTTCTAGCAGTCGGTTCTTGAAATCTAATTCTTCCCGCAACCCCGCCACCTTGTTCTCTAGGTCAGTTCGCAAAACGGTCTCAGCATCGAGATCACGTCGTAACAAACCGCAACGCTTCTCTAATGAGTCATAGTCGGGTTTGAGGGCCTCGTATAGGTCGTGATCCTTTTTGTATGAAGAGAGCTCACGCTCAAGTGCCTCAATGCGGCGTTGGAAGTTGCGAGCATCCACTTCCCGTTTGGCTAGCTTACTCTGAGCTGCCTTAGCTTCCTCTTTACACTTTTCAGTCTCCAAGTCGGCGGCCGCCTTTTGTTTGGCAATTTCGTCGACGAGCCGACGGAGGGACGCAATCTCTGCCTCGTAAGTGTTCCTCACTTCGTCATTCTTACTCTTAAAATAAAGTATTCAAACGGTTTAACGTTCTTGCTCATGGACCATCTACTCTTGTTGAAAACTCACTTCATCAGCTAAGAAATCACAGCTATTTTAGACCTAAAAAGAGGTTTCAGTTTTGGTTGAATTTTCCCAGATTTAGGAGCATAAGCTTTTCCGTTAGCCTAACTAAATGGGAAAAAACTTGTTTTATTAGGAGAGTATGACATCAGATATAAATGACTTGCAGGTCATTTTTGCAGGTTCAAAGCAGAGCTACAGCGCTTTGTGGATCTGGATGTCAGTATTTTGCTTCGAAGCTTCTTAAATAAGTGAACTTGGGATTCAATAATTTAGGACTTCACCACTTAAATACAGACCCATAATCAGAACGGTCGGGATAAATTTCATACTAACAATGAGCAGAGAACAAGCCTGTTCATGAGTTGCTAGACCTTATCAATTTTGTCGTTGCAATCAGATTAGAACATAGTTGTGCCAGCGGTATAATTCATGTGGACAAAAGCAAATGTTAAATACAATAATTTTTCTATATCAGGAGCATTTCACTCAAACAATAATTCAATTATTTGAATAAATTACAAAAGAAAATGCCAATAGTTAGGGGAAAACAAAATCTGAAACCGAGCAGTAAAAAGATAGTTTATCTTAGAGGTTTCAACTAAAAAACAAAAATATTGTCATGATTCAATACAAAATCAATGCACACGTGATGGCATTCTAAAGAGAGACCAAATGGATTCTAAGGGCATGTTTAGGCATCACAATTTACCAAGCGCTCTTCGGAGTAAGCTTTAATCTTCTTTTGTAAATGTTCTTTGTCCAGTTCCAATTTCCGAACGTAATCGATGTACGAAGCAAGACGGTCATTAAGATGTGCCAACTCTTCTTTTTCTTCATTGCGTGTAATGCTGAAAGGGCTCACTGAACGTTGGCGCCTTCGATCCGAGTGAGAAACTGTCGACGCAGCTATAGTACGTTTTGACGTAGTGGTTAATTCCGGCTCATGCTGCCTCGACCGCTTACAACGCGTTGACATTTCCTCAAATGCACAAAGAGGATAAGTCTTTTACTCTCTATCTACTTGTTGTCTGGCTAAAATATATTAAGGATATGCCTCAAGAGATGACGCCACGACGTCTCCTGTAAATGTATTGTACATCTTCAGACTTACCTAATTTCAAACGACATTTCAGTGAAGATGTGAGGAAATAATCCTACAGGCAATCCTAACAAATAAATTGACTGATAAAGTGAACTTCGAATCTCTGTCTAATTATTTTGTCACAACGCATATCATGCGGCACTTCATCGGGTTACCACGAGGTTTCAGACAATAACCCTACCTCAAAAAAAGTCCGGTTGAAATCATAAAGGAACATATCGGGCGAAAAATAATAATGATACATCATATAACCCTACGTACGACTCCGATATAGAGCTAAAGAGGTATAGCGATGTGCGCAACTTTTAAACAACAAAGAAGTGAAATTACGATTCATCGGATTGCACATGATGTAGCAGCTTATATGAGTTCAATTGACAAGATATAAGACAAGCCCAGCTCCAAACGTATCCTCCAATACATTTTTAATAGTGTAATTATTCCTTTAGAGCCATTTGCTCCACACTTCCTTTCAGATTTTTGCATTTGTCTCCACAAAAATATCTGCAAATATGTGAGAAATGACGTTATTAATTGAAAACACGCAAAAAGTTGCGCAATTTACACCACTAACTACGATAACCCTATCTCACGCCATGGATGTTAATTCACATAACCTATCGATTGCAATCAAAATCCATGTGTAGAGAAAACTAAGCAAACCCACACGACTAACAAGTTGAAGAACGCTCCTTCTATAATGGGTCATTAAGTAACTTATGTCTATTGATTAAAACCCAAGAATTATCTTTTAAACTAGAAGGTAGCTAAGATGCTTGCTGACGCGTAATCTACAGATAACTTATAGTCTAATTTCTTTATTCACTGTTGATTTCTTTGAAATGTCCTTTTAGTGGGCAAAAAGTTAACTTTCTAGAAAAGCATTTTGCTTGACGTTGAAAAAAAAGAAAAATTTAATTTTGAGCGTCATAAATTGCTTTTTAAACGTGTGTAACCAGTTTCGTAGGTCATATATAACATAGATTACTATGAACAAGGCGAATGGTTATACAAATTATTTGAAAATAATGCAAGTCATGAAATAAGAGTCGTTGATATTGAAGAGCTCGGGCAAGTGTATCATCATGTGTTTAATTGCAAAAATTTTATATCTCTAACTACTGATCATATGCCACCAGCTCTCTGGTATAAGATGGCAAGGTTTAAAAATTGATGAGGCAAACACTTTTGTACTTAACTCGTGGCCAATACCACCTCTCGACTTTACACTAATCTGTAATTCGCAGACCTTTTGTAGACTCCCGCTACTCCAAATATTTTCAGAAAAAACACCTAGATGATAATAAAAATGTTTGCTTATGTATCTAACGATATAATTTTCTTTTGGCTTGCACCGATAATGTTTTATTAATACGTACGTGCACTCAATTTTTGATGTTAGTCTTAGTTTTCCCATGATCGGCAATGGTTTGAGGCTACCCCATAAGGCGGACGTTCACTAAGGTGTTTGAAATCTCATTAAAAAGCTAGAACAACTGCACCAAACCCGAGCTAATATGAACAGAACTTTTCTTTTAAACACCTACCTCCTAAAACGCTGTCCTTGCGATCCGACAAGAATTCGGCAATCAAATTGGGACGTTGTAATTTTGTTATAACTTAAACTTACTGATTCGTATTATACCACTTCACCAAGAAAATTATTTCCATTAATTTTGAATTAAACCATACCATCGTCTACGAGATTTTAACATGTACCCAACTCTACTGTTCGCGCGTTTCCTCTCTACTAGATAGGTGCATCAATCACTCATAAATCACAATCACCCCCAAAACTGATTTGAATAAGCACGTCATGGAATACAAATTCTGTGGGTGGCACATCTGTCGCTCTTTTGTACCAACTGAAGCACGGACGAACGACAGAAATTCTCATCGAAATTGTGATTTAAACCTGGATAGGGTATTTTTCGCTCTTCGATTATGAATGTTTTACTGATTTGTATGAAGAGGATTAACAGCGACCGCGCATGAGTGAACCCTGTACACTAACCTGATGGTGACAATGACTCATCTCCTCTGCATTGGTTACTATTGTCAAATGCCCGTTATCCGTTCACTCGTACATACTTGGCTGGCGTGAGGCTAAGCTGTCGTGTTCTGTCGCCTCTCTTCACTCCATTCTCGGGTTAACTAGAGGGTTGCAAGGTGGTGCTGAACAAAAGCCACTACAGATACTTTAGCCCGCACCCCTGTTCAAGTCAGCAACGTTTCCTCTTCATCTTCAAGCAAGAAACTTTACTTCTGCATTTTCATCCACCCTACCAGAACTACCATCCCATTCGCCGATACGGTGAGAATTATTGATAAATCAACGGCGAACTATCAGGTGAAGCGTATGTGCGGAACCCTGCCTACGATTTAACAAACATCCCCACTTGTCAACTTTTCTGTAGCAATACTGCTGCTGATAAATATTCAGGGCTGAAAGTCATCACTACAATGATTAGTTGCCTCCTACCTCTACCTTATTCGCTTGGTGCACTCTGAAGCCCTTACCGAATACATCCATGCCAAATAACAAAGGTTTCGAAACTACAATTAACACACGTGACCTAGCTTGAACAAGCTAGTCGTCAAGGTAAGAGAAAAGCAAAAAATTTACCAATACAAGTGTGTATAAATCCAATAAACGCCTACAGTGACATATGATGAAACTATTTATGGTGTTTAAGTGAATTAGAAGGGGCGATTGATAAACAGAGAAATTGGACAATCGCGAAACCACAAGCGATTCCGCAAACAGTGTTACATAGTGTTGGCTTAGATACTTGCTGCTGCCACCAATAATAATAGACATTAAAAAAAACGTTAGAAAAGTGAGTCACGAGAACAGGCTGTACTTAGTTAAACAACCGTGCACTAAATGCATTGGAAAAAGCAGACTGGTTGGCAGGGAAAACAGAAATTGAACGAAGTCTGAGTAAGGCGATTTTCTACATCAGCGAGCATTTCTGTAAGGAAAAATAGTAGGTCGGTATTTACCCTAAATAGGTGACCACTTTACCAGATCAAATCTCACAATGACCCGAATTCACACGTGACTGGCTACATCATTAAACAGCCAAAGTAAAACCCCCCTTCAACTCTACCATTATTAAATGAGTACAATAAAAATTCGGACTAGCCACTTTAAAAAAGGCAACAATTTTACATGTGAATATGTTCACGCTCCGCCTAGAGACTTGGCGAAATCTGCACTGCCAAAGTCAAAATTTAAAATGGCAGGATTTTGAACACACGCAGGCACATTCATGGAACGAAACCCATGTACATGAACATTTTTTGGAAGGCGCCTATTTAGGAACTTGACCTGACCTATTATTCATTCTACTCAACGAAAGATGGTAGATTCGAACTAAGTTTTTTGCAATGGCAATTTGGGAATGTAGACAGCCACGCCGTATGAATTACGGCGACGCTTCGTGAAGTTAAAAACCAAAACTACATCCTGAAAACGGGGACTGTTTGGCACCGTACAACTTCCGCATGTCGTAACATTTATTTCCTCAATATAATTTCAACACAATTAGATGTTTGAGTTAATAATCGGGTAAAAAACTATGCATATTTAAACACGCTCAAGCTAAGACGAGATTGCAGTTACACGGTATAGAAGTACTGAATGAATGTTGTTCTAAAAGTATTTCAGGGGGGATAAATCAAGCGACCCTTGCTTAAATAGGTTATGTTTAGCAGAAAATGACCAACCTCATCAGACTTTGAGGTGCATGATCGAACACGTCTTGCAGGTAGCACTGCGCGAGTACACTCCCGAATGACCATGCACGAGGCCTGTTCCTACAAGCAAGCAATAGTCTTGGCTACTAAAAAGCTTGCAATCAGTGTTTATTTATGGCATCGGATGAATACTCACGATGAATAGTACACATCACTGACGTATTCGAAATCCAAAAGGATAAACTAAGTAAATAGCTGACTTGAACCCTGTACCTAGCTATATGAAAACTAAAAGTGCCCTAAACTCCAGCGCAGAGATAAAATATTATCAAAAAAATAAAGTTACGCCCATTGATTTCAAGTTTCTACTAAATGCTTTAAGCACCAATAAAGGTAATGGAACAGACCTGGTCCTCTTCGTTGAATAGAGTAATAGTAATGTTGGCGCCGGCATAAAAAGCTTGGTTTTTCATGACAATATCCGTTGGTGGATTGTGAGCTATCGCCGAATCACTACTCCAGACCTAGAAGATGAACGCAGCAGTAACACTATGTTTTTTACATGGAAAACAACGACGACGGGTCCCATGACATCACATATGCTGGTGTAAAGCAGAGGTTAAAAAAATTCTTTTCTACAACTAAGTAAAGTTTGGGGTTTTGCTGAATACTTACATGACATATGGGACTGAAAGTTTAAAGATTTTGTTACATTTAGCCAAGAAAACCCATTAAAACACATGGACATTATACTACAGCGAAAATATTAAACAGTCTTGACTAAATGACAAAATAACAACACCAAAGCAGTATAATAATCACAATTACTTTGCTTCATACTGTGTCGCAACAAAGTTCATTAAAACACAGTCACGAGTTATTACTAATGATAGGATCGGAATGTGAATACCAACTAATAGTACCATTATACAAAACAAGCTGACAGTCAAATATCTTGGCAACTCCAAAAACATAAAGAAAAAGCAAGTCGCCTTTCCAGAACCCGCAGGAGCACCATCATTACACGAAATGGATCAATTCTGCAACACTGAAATGGTTTAAATGGGATAAAGACTACTAGTAAACGAGGCCAGGAAAGCTTACTGTGCACGTGGCGCCAGGCTTGATGGTCACTGTACGATGGAACTTGAAGGCCACCTCCTGGCCATCAGCTTGGTGCTTCAGGATCCAGTTTCCGATGTTAACATCCTGCGAACAACGAATGTACATTTAGTCTAATAAGAACGAATTACATGGACCGTTGGCTGGCCTACAGAAATGCTAAGTATGGTAGACAAAAACAAATCACTTTAAAAAACCACTTGGAGAACAAAAGAGAAAACTGAGTTATACTTATTTACGATGAAAGGGATTGATGACGATTTCTATACAGTCAAAATACCTTTATTACCCCAAATCAAGGGAGCCGAACACAATATACTGGCAATGCAACTGGCAGGGGAAAATGCGATTTAGGAAATGTGTTCAACCATATCGAAGAAAGCCTGCCTAGATGCACTGGACGAGGTGATGAAATCTTGACGAATGTTTAAGTCAAATTTACATTTGAGTAAGGGAACTTGACTAGACGTCGTTGTTATGCGCCCTATGGTAGTATATCGGTAGAGATTTTGAATCTAGTGACCAAAGCACCCTTACCTCAAGCGGCCTCAGTATAACATTAAGGTCTTTTAAATAAATTACACGTATCACCCCCAAGCACCAAAAAAGACGTACACGTTTCGATGCATTGGTTAGTTTAACCCACTTGCCGGAGCCATCTTGATCGGCAGTAAATTCGATGTCACCAATAGCAGAGGTTGATACGCGGAAGGCGAATCGAGATGAGCAGGGTCCGCCCAGCTCATCTGCAACCATCTCATCGCCCGAGTCAAGTCGTCGTTTCTTACCCACTATGCCACCACTGCCGAATGCGCTGGGACGAGGTGGAGAGGCAAGATTAAGTCTACGAGTAAAAAAATAAAAATAGTCTTTTAAACGTTTAGTATGGCACTTAGGGGAATTCAAAAAGCGACTGGTCAACAAATGGGTAAAGATGAGGTCTGTAATGGAATTCCCATGAAACAAAAATGAAAGTTTGCAATAACATAATTAATCCAAAAGCTGAGTTTGATATAAAAGGACAGAAAACACTAGTGAGTGAAAAAAAATTATTGTGACTTCAAGTCAAAACTGCTCCCCAATGAAGGTGGCGTCCTAACCTCTATGTCACAAAAATTTAAGCAAAAACGTCCTGCCATTCATGGCTTGAACCGCTGACACTCGTGCGGTGAATTAAAACAGCGCGTGGCATGAGAGTTGATGAGTCAGCAAACGGACCACAAGCCGTGGCCTTACCATATTCGTAAGCGCGCACAAAAACGCACACACACGCGATAATGGACCTCCAATACCACGCAATTTACCGGGTGTGGACGCGTACTTGGAGCAGCAGGGTGTGACCCTCGTGTCACCTAACAGAACAGATACTGGTAGACCCGCGGTGAAGAATTTCCGATTTATTAATGAAACTATGTATAAAAAAGTCAGTAGGCAATATCCCAAACACATAGAATAGAGAACATTCACGATAAACCTGTTCTACGTACAGCATGAAGTCCAATTTGGATAGCGAGGCATAGTAAGTCTAATTTGCATCAAACCCACTCATTCGGGGATAAATACAGGTAGCAGTTTCCATAGCATACCAAAAGAATAGCGTTGATCGATTCCCAGCCTATCAAATTAAGTATTCTCCATCATAAACCTACACTCAGAACACAAACAAAAAGAGGACTGAATATAGAGACAGAGAGCAGAAAACAAGCATGCCCATAGACACCAACGCATAGGCTTACCGTGACTCTTCACCCTCGAGCATTTTCCGGTACATAAGGATTTCCTGATCAAGAGCCACTTTGGTGTTCATAAGATCGGTGAACTCGGCAAAACGCAATTCTAGCTCATTCTGGAGCCGCTTAATCTCCTCCCGTTCGGATGTCAGTTGGGCCTCGTAGTCCTCGCGTTCCTTGTTGAGCAGATTTTCGAGGTCAACAACACGACGTTGCAAAAGGTCAACCTCCCCCGACTTCTTGGCCAACTCGTGGCACAGTTCGTCACACTGTTTACGCATTATCATAAGGTCCTCGCGCAACTTTCCACCATCCCTAGTAGCATCAATGTTGGCCCGACGCAGTTGCTCCAATTTTGTCTTCAAATGGAAAAAAAGCCATAAAGCAATTGAATGCGTGAAACCCACGCTAGGCACCCAAGGAAAAGGACTCATTTGCTTCAGCAGAATTAACACAAAGAGAATAGAAAGGGACTAGTTCTGTCTGCACATGACTTTGGCAGATTTACCACCTTCCGTATCAACATGTGACGATGGCCACATTTAAGCGAGAAATACATTGACGAATGTGCAGACAGGTAATAAAAGCAATTATTGGTTTTATCCCTCAGATGATCATTACATTGCGACAGGATAACACCATCCAGTGTCATAAACCTCAAGAATTTGGGCTAAGAGAACCAAAAGGGCCAAGGCGATTACGAGTTAGGTGACATTATGGGAGTTGAAAGTGAAATGGACATCTGACGTAATCTTCCTTCCACGTCTCCTGATCCGCAAGCATTAGCAACCACGCGCAGAGACCTGGGAACTGAAAAGCACAAACACTGAAAATAGACCAGCTGAATCTAAATTTGCCCTGTACGACAACAGACTTCCCACCTTTGCAACACATCCCATAAGCACACAAAATTAATTGGTTTTGAGGGTGAAAACGACGCAAAGGGACTACAGGCAAACGTAACACACTATCGGGGAAATAAGCACTAAGGCATGGGTCGAAACCTACGGGAGAAGTTGCAATAGCACTTAGAGGACTAAATAATTAACAAAGATATTAAAAACACCTTGCCTGTGAGTAGACATTACCACAAATATAATTCCAACTGCATAATAAAGTACGTCGAAAAACAACCACAATTAGTTAAAAAATAGACTTTGACAAATGTCCAGGGCTGAACATGTTTATAACATTACCAGAGGTCTACCTGGAATGTTGACTCCATCTGAATGCGGTACTCTTGTAGCTCATCAGCAGTTTGCTGCCGATAGGCCTGTAGTTCATCTGCCAAACGTGACTCAAATTCTGCGGCTTTTCTATCTTCAATCTCTTCTTCGACAGTGAGAGTTTGAAGAACCAATTTTGATCGCTCCTCTTCAATTAGGCGATTTTTGAAATCCAATTCCTCCCGCAAACCCACGACCTTATTCTCCAGATCTGTTCGTAATATAGTCTCTGCCTCCAGGTCCTTGATCAGAGTTTCAAGCTTTTTCTCCAATGCCTCATACTCAGGACGCAGTTGCTGATATCGATCATGATCTTGCTTATATGAAGCCAAATCACGCTCCATTACGTCAACCTTGCGTTGAAGACTACGCACTTCACCATCACGTTTGGCCAACTTAGACTTAGCGTCGGCGGTATCATCACGATGTTTTTTTAATTCAACGTCCCTGGTAGCCTTTTCTTTGGCTAAGTCATCAACCAGATGACGCAATGATGAGATCTCCTTCTCATATGTATTTCGGACTTCATCTACTTGAGAGAGGCGTTCTTCGGATATGGTGGATATACGTCGTGTCAGACACTCCTTGTCACGCTCAAGTTTGCGGACGTAATCAATGTAAGAGGCCAGACGGTCGTTAAGATGGGCTAGCTCCTCCTTTTCGTCGGTCCTGCTGATGTTAAGTGGGCTCGGCGATCGCTCGACGGTAACTTGAGTGCCACTTATTACAGAAGACGTGACAGCACGTTCCGCCTTCTTTGGCGTCGCGACTTTTTCAGGTTCTGCCTGTGGTTGTTTCGATTTTTTTAAACGGGCCGACATTACGTAAATCTGGAAATAAAGTAAAAAAGGAACTTATTTCAATTCGCAGGTCTAATTAGGCCAAAATTTAACTGACTCAGTGGTTTAATTACACCCAAATGATATAGCGATCGAGCCTATTTAATTTCGAATAAGAATAGTGGCTGAAAGTAGTTTAACTCTAACCGATCAAAGAAGGTATATTTAATTGACCAAGAAACCTCGCCATTTACTTTGCTGCTGTTTAGTCGCCCATATACACACTCTGAGAAAATACCCAAATCAGGTGTAAATATATTGGCTGAAATTATACCCATGTGTGAGCCTAAAAGACAGAAAAGCGGACTGCAGCGAAGATACGAATAGTTAGGAAGTATACTGAGCATCAAGAGGCTGTTAAGCGTAAACGAATATGATATTGCCATTTATTTCTTTTCATTATCGTTGTGAAATTCGTTTCTTCGGTAAATTAAGAAGAGATTGCCAAGTCACAGAAGCGTCGACCAGAAACATAGTTACAGTTATGATATGATATCTAATGAGAAGACCACATATGTTGTGATAGAAAGAGAATGCTAGTTTTAAATGACTTGTGTAAACAGACAAATAAGGTGCGAGAGATAATACCCTACATATTAATTACAGGCCTGCAGAGGGTACACTTGACAAACAGCACAGTTATATATTAGGACGCGAAAAGTCAAGATGATAAAATCTTGGCAAATAATATATAAAACGTTCAGTAGGAAAGTCTGATTAATATGGCTTTTACTCGTCAAAAAAGCCCGCGTACTATCCATGGCAAATGAATTTGACTACACAAGATAGAGGGAAAAACGCCAAAAATACACGAGAACAAAGATTGGGTGCCAGGAAGGAAAAAAAGTGCTGAAATATAATGGCCTAAAATGTGGTTCACACACTAATCTGTTGTGATGATTCTAGTGTTTACATAGCAATAAAAAGCAAATGAACGTGCTCTGTTCAATAGCCAAATTCTATAAACCAGAAATCCCACATGTTCGAAAAGTGTCCACTTAGATAAGCACGGCCTAAATATTCAAGCAATAACAAAGGTGTGCAGAAACGCAATAAAACAGGAACAACGCACCACACCGCTCAATTTTAGTGGGTTGTTTAAATCATTGCGACAAGTCAATCTCTCTGGGTATGGGGCAAAAAAACAACAGCAATTTAATCAAGTGTAGGAAAATGAAAAATCAAGGAGTGAACACAGTCATTTCTCTCACTATCAATTAAATATTCTAAAAACTACCCGAAAACAACGAAACTATAACTTATATCTTGATGCTTGTAACAGCTAAAATAATGGTTTTCAACAGCGAAAATTAAAACAAACAGTTTGCAGCAAAAAATTTGATGTTTGAAGTTAATTACAATAATAGTCTCTCATCTAAAGTAGTACAAATTGGGAAATCGGGGACTTCTTTGGTTTCTTAATCAATTATAGGAATTTTTTGTAATTTAGAGAGGCATTTCTGTATTAAAACTAATTGTTGTGGGGATAAGAACCAAATTTTGATCTGAATAATTTATAAATCGTCCATTTGACCAATTACGTGACACTAATAACCGTTGACTGGACAGATACAACGGAATAGCTCATTTACCTTGTGCGTTATTTTATAAAAAGAATTAAAATTTAAAATTTAAATATTTGCGAATACACTGCAGAGACTCTTGAAATAGGTTTGATAATTTATAAGATTATTAAATTTAATGTACGCTTGGCATTCATCCGTCACTTTAATTTTTACTTGCAAAAAATGTTTACGTGTTGCTTTCAAATATTATACTATCAGTTACAGATCAGAACTCGTCATTGAAATTGATTTGAACCTCTATTTTTCCAAATTTTTATTTAATAAGCAATAACTCCAGCCAAAATTTCAGAATAAGTAGAAGCTATTTAAATCAATAAGTATCGTTTGGACGAGTAAATGGAAATTCAGTGGTTTGTTAAGAGCTTGTAAGCATCGCAAACAAGCTCACTGGTCATCTGTGACCCGAGATGAGTTCAAGCTATTACAGTGTCTATGATGAAATGCCTCATCATGAACCTATATGCACGCTTCTCTAAATTTCTTTCAAATCAACCTTTACAAAGCCCCTCTTACTTTCTTCAACGATGTCAAATATAAGTAAATATGCAAAATCAGATCAAATAATTTGGATTTGTACATCAACACTTCAAGTACGCAGCCAATTTTCTATAGAATTATTTTTGTATCATACCCTAACATGATTGATTGCACCAACAATAGCTCAAAATCCACATCACGGCAACAAAGTTTTGAGCTAAGAAATGCACTTCGAATCGATTAGACAATTGTATCGATAACATATAGTTGTCTTTACGAGTGGGATAAGGACACCTGCTATCAGTATGTCGCCACAATAACCTTATTCATAGGTTACATCTCTGCTAGTTTTTGTGCTTAATTAAATTGACCTATAAAGTAAGTATTGGTAGTAATATTCATGATTAGTATATGACCTATCTTTTAAAACGCACTTCTTTCTTAACGATAAAATATTTGCTCAGTTTAACGTAAGGCTCTCTAATTTAAAGGTACGTTCACAATATCGCACGCCAGTTAAATCGATTTCTCGAGTATTCTCCTAACCATTTAAGTTTAACTGCAATGATATTAATAACCATAATGCTTAGCAAATTCCTTAATATACAGAGGCCTCATGCTGCTTCCGGTCTTCACCGTAATCCAGAGTTTAGAACTAATGAGACGTCAGCGGTTATGTCAGAGACACAGAGGTAAGATTTCGTGACACATCGATAATCCTCAAAATACTAACAAATAAACTTCGTCAACTATTTTTTAGTTTCACTGTTTAAATGAAGTCATTTTTATATAGAACACTTTTATTCACTTTTGGGGACCCTCGGTACACAATTGAGCTCAAGAACGTACACCCATCCTCCCCTAAAATTCCCTAATGACTCTGTCTTTCTTTTGCATTCACTAACCTCCAGCTACGTTAGTGTCTGCGGGTCAGATTTAGACTCTCCGAAGGCAATCTTAACCACTAACATTGTACCCACTCCCTCGCCAAATTTTTCATGCCCTAGCCCCTGGCTTGTATTTTTTGTCGTGTTCCCGAAAATAAACCCTGAAGGTTTTAAGGGTGTGGCGACCGATCAGGGCGCAGACATATTGGATTACCTGGCCTCAGCCAATCCTCTGTTTATCTGTGTTCTAATGGCATGCGAGGAAGGTAAGCAGCCAACCAGAGAAGGACACGACTGAGGAGCAGTATGTAATGAGCGGCGTGGCCAGCGTGGTGGACTCGTGTAGCGTGGGGGCAGAAGGACGCCATCTTTGCATCCAGCCATTGGTTGAGAGCCAGTGGCGCGCCGTGGGGGCGGCATCACGTGATTTCCGGTTGCGAGGAATATTTAAGTTTCAAATGGGGCGCCAAAGCACGGATAGCTAATCACCTCACGAGATTGTCTTTCTATTTCTAGAAGCCAAGCAGGAGCCAATGAGCGGACACGAACAGCCTGAACCCAGTATATAAGAAACCCCTTGTGAACACTAGAACCGGAACCTTGACGTCGGAGACTGTTGTTGTGCCTTCTGACAATATACCCGTATAACTGTCCATTAGTCCTCTTATTATGCCCGGGCGCGCTACAGATGGTGTCAGCGGTTCTCGCAAGAACCTAACAACTTTTCCTGACATGTCGGCGCTCTTAGAGCATATGTATATGCCCCCAAATGCACCCTCAGTGTACGAGCTGGAGGAAGATTTCGATGTATGGCTTGAGAAGGTTGAAA